TAACCTCGCCTCGAGTCACACATGGTGCCATTTCTGCCACAGTCACGGGCCCACAGATTTACCTCTGGATAGAGTGTCTGTGGTACATTGTAAGAAGAGCACGTGGTATGGGGCATATTTTGTGAGCCATCGTGGCCATTATGAGCTGCCACACCTTTCCCACCACCTCTCTGCTTAAGACCCTTCGGGAGCTCCTGCCGCCCCTAGGAGAGAATCGTGCTCCTTGGTGTGGCCACATGGCCTGGCCATCTAGCCCCTGGCCCACCGGGCTTGCCTCTATCGGTCCGTCCCTTCCCTTCCTCTACAACTGGCCCCATAGATGGATTTTGGTTTAAATCAACTCAGTGGCCACACGTAGCTTCCTTGAACAGTGCTTGTCGTTTACCCCTCTCCTTACACACCTGGTCTGGCCCCATTTTCCCTGAGCCAAAGGACAGGGGAAATGACCTTGACCTTGTTGCCTCCCATCTCTTTGCACAAGCTTTTTATCTTCCTGCCTGTGTGCATTTGCTCCCGCTGTTCCCTCCGCCCGAAATACCTGGTCTCCTCTGACCCCCGCTTCCCACAGTTCAACAGCTGCCCTTGCAGCCTTCCTGATGCCCAGCCCCCTGGGCCCCCGCCCTTTGTGATCTCCGCTTTGCTGCTGGTCAGACCTTCCCATAAACCAGCGCAATGTCATTCATGAGGTGAGGTCTTTGGCATCATATCTGGTTTTATATGTCAGCTCCACTGCTTCCCAGCCATGTGACCTTGGGGATACGAACCACCTCACTGGATCATGATGAGGATTAATGAGGAAACCTAAGAATTTCTTGTCTGGCGCTGAGCAGAATCCCAGTAAGAGTTAGCGTTTCCATTCCTTCTTTCTAGAGGCTCCTAATAAGTGCTCAGGAATGCATTTTCTCACCCTCATTTGGGTGAAAGAGGGAAAATGTCTCCCTGCTTAATCATGTGGGATTAAACCACCAGAAGATGATAAGCATATTGCTGAGCCATGAGCAGAGAGAGAAAAGCTCAATAATGATTGCCTGCTTATTTTTAATAAAATCCTTCCAATAGAGCTGAATCTCTGCCCTGGGAAACAGCTCCACGTTGCTGCAGTGGTGTCGGAGAGCAGTTGTTAGAAGGGCAGTGGGACAGTATGACCTTGAGAACAGGGCTGTGTGGGAGGACGGCCCTCCCACAGGCTGCAAGGGGCCTCAGGAGGGCAGGGGGCCTCAGGGGGAGGGTCTCCCCCCCCTCCCCCTGCCCAGCCCTGTCTGAGCTGCTTGAATGCGCTGTCCTCTTGGACCTCCCCTTGGCTGGCCCAGTGGTGGTGCCCTGTCAGCTGACGGCTCCAGCTGTCGCGCTGCTCTTTGCGGTGAGACGAGAGTGGCCAGGTAGGTGGGCTGTGCAGCTCTTCATACCCAGGTTCCAGCACCTTCCACCCAAGGCAGTTGTTGAGGGTGGGGTGTGGGGTCAGGAAGTGCGTGGGGCGGCCCATTTACGCAGCCAGCTCCTTTACGTGATGCCAGGGCAGCAGTGGGCGAGGGGCTCCTTTGTAAAGCTCTGCCTCAGGGCCCTAGGGACAAAGCATGGAGGCACCTTTCCTGCTGTTGGCGCTGCATAGTGTTGCCTGGGCTCTGCTCTGAGGGCTGGTTGGTCCCCTGCAGGCTGGTGAGCCCCACCCTGGAGCCCTGGGGCCATGGGTCAGGGTGGAGGCCTGGCTCAAGCTGGGGCCGGGGCAGGACACACCAGCCGTGGTGCTGATGCACACCTGCCTGCAGTAAAGGGTGCACACTGAGGCCGCGGGGAGGGTGAGCCGTTAGAGGCCTCTAAGCAGGGAGGCCAAGCTGACAGGTTCAGACAGGGTCTGAGCCATGTTGTCCTGGCAGCCATGGAAAGAATATGGGTGGTCTTGGGGAAGCTCTGAGGTAAGGAAGAGGAGGGCTTCTGCTCTGAGAAATGAGAAAAACCACCTAGAAGAGTGGGAAGAAATCATCCCCTTTTGATAACGAGGCTGTCATTCAGTCCAGGCCTCAGTTGGTGTGCTGGGCCCCAGGTGTCCTAACCCATCCATCCTTGCTTTGCTGAGCCCTCCGTTTGCCCCACCCGTGCCTGAATTCCCAGTTTCTGGCCTTGCAGGTTGGGTCAAGCACTGCCTGAGTAGGGAGAGGCCCTGCCTCCAGCCCATCCCAAGAAAAAGGTGCCTTGACTTGGCAAGGCTATTCCCGGAGCTCCGTGACATCCATCTACAGTGGTGGCAATAATGACCCAGCAGAATCCTGAAACCCAGCATGACCCAAAGACGCTGAGGAGCGTCAGGGATAGGAGCTCAGTCCCTGGTCCGACCACCTTATCCTGGCGCTGCTCGGCTCTGGCCCTAGGCAAGGAGCTGTCAGCTCGTTTCCCCTTGTATAAAATGGGGGTGCATGAGTACCTGCTTCAGGGTTGGGGACTAACCAGGGTGGTCTTAAGGGCTTAGTACAGCATAGCTGCAAACACAGAAGTCCTGCAAGCTTCAGGTAGGCGGGTGTCCCGTCTCCTCTGTTTACTGCTGTCGTGTAAATCTGTGCCTGGCACAGCCTTGGGGTGTGCCTGACGCGCTCTATAAATACAGGGTTCAGGTGTTGCCTGTTACGGTGACTGTGAGAAAGCTCAGAAAATATTGGCACTGGCCAGGACCCCACACCTAAAAGTTCCTCCTGCACAGTCCCGGGACACTACTTGTTCCTTTGGCATTTTCTCCTCCCACCTAGCAGTCGCCCTGCAAGCCACTGTGAAGCCACTGGTAGTGGCTGGCGCCCCAAGAAGGGGAACTTGGCAGAGAAGCCTTGCAGGGCTTTCTGATCTCTGAGCTCCTCCGTGAACCTCCTGTTCCTTTAGTGGCTTTTGGGGATTCCGCTGTCTCTCCTCCCTGCCTGCTCAGCTGCCCCAGGGGAGAGCCCGCTGGAGAAGAGGACCGTGTCCCTTTTGCGAAGGTGTGAGGTGCTGTGTGTCACCACAGAGGGGAGCTACCAGTGGGCCCTGCAGTACCTCTCTTCCCGAGGAGGAAGGAACTTTCCATTGTCTCTTGGAAAAGGAGGATGCCGTGCGCTCCCTGATTTCGTCCTCCTCCTGCTGGCTCGGGTTGCTCCACTTTTCACTCTGTGGTCGGTCCCCCCTCAGCAGTTCCCAGCCAGGCCTTTCTGTGGCCTCAGAGCCTCAGAGCTGATCCTCCAGGTGTGGGAAGCCCCGACTTCTCACCTTTGTGTGAGTTTGAGTGGAGATTTAAAGCAATTGGAAAGTACTTTACAGATTTAACTTTTATTAGAAGCTCAAAGGGCAGTTTCCAGGTAAACTTACAAGAGATCCTGGGTGTATTACTGCTCACCCCAGAGATACTGAGAAGAGAAACGAGGCTATTCTGACACCAGCGGGTGTACTGCAATTCAGTCCTGGCGCTACCCACTCTGAGCTGGTGTCAGGCTGCCCAGGTTTAAGGGCACAGTCCCCAGCTAGATTGCCACCCACCTCAGACGCAAGCTGTAAGTGGGGTCCCCAGGAGCAGTCGCACTTCTGACCAGCTGGCTGCAAATCTGGGGGTGCCCACGACCCTCCTCAGGTTCCATAATTCACCAGAATAACTCACAGAACTCAGGAAAGCACTCTACTTACAATTACAGTTTTACTATGAAAGATACAAATCAGGAACAGCCCAATGAAAAGACGCGAAGGGTGAGGTCTGGGAGGCCTGGAACCGAGCAGTGTGTCTTCTCCCCGTGGAAGACAATTGCCCTTCCCTTACAAGTGCTGGCTGTTGGGAGAGGACTGCACTCACCTGGTGCACTACTGAGGCTTCCGAACTGGAAAAGGACCTTTCCCAGAAGAACCCCATTGGGTTGCCCTGCTCCGTCCAGGCAGTGACCAGCCACCCTTCTAGGCCCAGCCTGTGGACATCCCGTCCAAGAATCAGGGAGAGGTGGAATGAGAGCTCTTGGGCGCTGGCTGTCTTGCGTTCCCTGCCAGAGTTATCTGTCTTCAGCAGCCCGGAGCACAAAGAGCTCTGAGCCAAGCTCAGCTGGTCCGGTCCCCCTCTGAGCCTCCCAGGGCCATGGCAGAGACTCGGTGGGACGGAGTAGCACTCCTTGCTGGGCCTGACCTAACAAATATTCCTATCGCCCTTCCTTCCCACCCAGATGCTCACAAATGCTGCAGCAGGCATTTCCGCCACAGCCAGGCCTCAGGGGACCTGCACAGGGTTAGGTCAGAAGCCAAACCCTGCAATTTGGGAAATTAGCAGCATTTATGGGATTCCCAAGAGACTTCCTGGTTCTTTTAGCCATACCAGTGGTTCTCCGTTGGAGGTGTTACTGCCCCTTAGAGGGCATTTGCAAATGTGCAGGGGAGTTCAGGCTTGTCACGGTGACGGGGGATCCTGAAGGCATTTATCCAGCAAGGTCCGGGGATGCTAAACATCCTGCGAGGAGCTGGACAGTCAGGCACACGTTATGAAAAATAGTCCTGCCCAAGAGAGACGCTGGGGAGTCATTTACTTCCCCTGCCCTCTGGTTCCTTGGAAAGCCACGTTCCTCATCAGTGCCCAGGCTGAAATAAAGGAGCATGTCTCCATCCTAGCCTGTGACCAAGGGCAAGGCAGTATTTCCAGGTGAGCGTGGACCCATGTGACAGAAGCATCTTGTAGTGCACACACTTGCTCTGATTCTTCAGGTATGACTCTTGCATCAGTTGGGCTCTTATGGGTCAAGGAAGACTTGGATTTGGGTGGTAAGAGTTCACAGGGCAGGGGGAGGCCTCCTCCTTGGTGCCTGGCAGGAACGCCACTGCAGCCCACCCAGTGTAGACTCGGCTGCCTCACCTCAATGTCCCTCTCTGGGGGTCCCACCTCCCACTTCTGTTTCTGCATCTCATCTTTTCCTCTGGGCTTTTTTGTTTCATTATCTGTTTTTGTCACATGAAATGTGTTTAGAGGAGCCTAGCTCGGATCACGGCTAAACCCCTCTCTTCTTGTTGTTTTACAGTCGGGAAGACGTCTCTGATCACGCGGTTCATGTATGACAGCTTCGACAACACGTACCAGGTGAGTTCCTGGGTCCCTGCCCCCCACGAAGCCCCGCAGTGTTTGCAGCCTTGACAGCCACCTGGACACCATGCCAGCCTCCCTCCCAGGGTTGCTGATGCTAGGATGAGAGTGGGGCATTCCTGGGACCTAGGGCATCCATCTTGCCTTGGAGGAGCTTCCCATCTGCACACTGGTCCCAGCCCGGTAAAGACCCTGGGCCCTTCTGAAGATGCAAACCTCAATAAGGGAAATGTTTCCAGTAGAGAAAGGACACCTTTCAGTCTGTGTTCTCTTGCCCCCCATGGCAGGGCTAAACCATGACAGTGTTTGGTTTCTTGGGGGCATCACCATGTGGAGGAGGATGGGCAAGAAGCAAAATGAGGGACGTGAAAGAGCAGTAGGAGAACTTGCTCCTCCAGCGTGGCTGTGTGCTGGACCTTCGTGAGTGCGTACACACACACACACGCACACACACACACACACACGCACACACGCCCCCCCCCACACCCACACATACATACGCACACACCCACACACGCATACACCCACACCCACGCGCACACACACACGCCCCCACACACACACACGCCCACACCCACACGCCCACACACACAGCCACACACACGCCCACACACACACACGCGTGCACACACGCCCACGCACACACGCGCGCGCACACACACACACACACACACACACACGGTTGCTGGGACACTTCCTTCCCTGGAGAGGCTGGTGTGATGGGCCTGCACTGCTCTACATGGGCAGGAGGCTGGATAGAGTGACCTGTGTGCTCCTGGCTCTCAAGGGTGGTCTGGAATCAACCAGAGGTGGCTCCATGTAGCCTAAGGCTGAGTTCTTGAAGGTCAGTAACATTTCACTTTCCTGTCACCACTGATGAGCAAATGAAGTGAATTTCCCCTGCAGCTAAAGCTGTTATCACAAAGCACCAAACTTAATCATTTCAATTATTTTTAAGAAAAAATATATTGTTTTCTTCCTTAAGACAGACACAAATAATAATTCAGTTTTCTAAGCCAGTGGGTTCTGTGAGATAGTAGTTCCAAGGGATGTTAGTAGGTGTTATTTGAGGGAAAAAAGGCAGGGAGAAGGGTTTGGGGCTTAGGGAACACTGGTGAACGAAAGTAAATCTACTTTTCTACTGCAGGACTTCTCAGGGCCTTTTACTACATCAGTGTATGGTTTTGATTTGCTGAAAGGGAGATGTAGTGTGCAGGATCTCCCAGATATATTTGGTCATGGAATCCTTTTGTCATCGAGTCCTCAAAGGATGAATATTTATAGAACACACTGGGGACTGCTGTGCTAAGAGGTCTCTCTCCCACATCCCAGGACCTACAGAGCATGCAGAGCACAGCCCACTGCAGATTACGGTTCTGTGTCTACTCTTTAGTCTGTCTGTCTCACTCTGGACCAGTCAGCATCTTTGCCTCACACACAGCTCCTTTCTCTGTCTCCCTCTAAATCCCTACTTTTCCTCTGCTGTCATCTGAAATACCAGATAACTAGTGGACTTGGTAAGAATTGACTGAAGGGTAAGGACATGGGGCCCCGAGTGCCGTACACAGCCTTGGACATCTGCTCTGGGATGATTATCTCAGCCACACTTTGTCTTGCTTGGTACAGGCCAGGCTCTGTACCACGGCAGCTTGCAGAGCCCTCTCCTCCCTGTAAGGGGCTTCCTACTGCGTCGCTTTGCGTCCGAATCACAGCTCTAACTTCAATTCTTAAGTCTGACTTGGTATTTGCATATTTGTGTGTGTATTCATGTGCATGTGTGTGTGTGTCAGTGAATGATCTCACAGATATTGTTTTGATTATTTGATTTTTCAAATATTAAGTTACTTATAATACTTCTTGTTGATGTCCCATTGATAATAAGTGATGCCCTTGGCTGGCTGGTGTTCTTGGCAGTGGTGGGCGGTAGAGATGGCCTCAGAGCCTTTGCAGTGGTCTTCACTGGTGTGGATCAAAGCCTCAACTCCTCCCCATGTCGTTTGAGTCTCCAGTGTCACCTCCTATGGCCCACTGCTTGTCCCATATCCCGTGGTCCAGCGGGCCTCCCTGCTTGCTGCTCCCCACTCAGTGACATTGTCCCACTTCCATGCCTTGGCTCATGGTGTCACCTCTGCTGGAATGCCCTTCCCTCTTCTCTCCTCTGCTGTGGAAAATTCCTCTGACTGACTCATCAAGGCTCAGAGCACATGTTTGTCTGTGGTCAGGACCCTCCTCATGCTCTGCACCCCTCCACGGCTCCATCTTCCCTAGCACACTGTCCTCGGGGCTCCTTTGCCCTCCCAGCCCTACAGGAACTCCTACTGCTCTGGCTGCCGGATGGGCTCTCAGCTTGGCTGAGGCCAGGACCCCTCGGATCCACCTCTGCGTTCATGGGTCCAGAGCAGGGCCTGCCCACAGCTGTGTCAGCTGGTGTCAGAATCCACCACAGTGGCTTCAAGAGGCCCTGTCTGCCTTGGTTTTTAGACTCCATCTGACTGAGCGGCCACAGTGGCCCAGTGTCGATGTCCAGTGTCCTGGCAAAAAGTGAAGAAAGCCCAAGTCCCTCCCCACTGTAGGCTTTTCTGACTTTTTTTTTGGCTGCAGGTAGAATTTCTCTCCCAATACCCTCTAAGATGGTAGTTAGGCTGGGAGGCTGGGGCTCCAGTTGTGTGCGCACACAGGCCCATTTTCATGAATTCTCTGGAGATGGAGAGGGGGAAATGTTACTTTTTCTTAACATGGTGGCAGAGGCACTTGGGAAGTAGACAAGATGCCCGAGGGCCCCGGGGGATGTTCCCAGTTGTGCCCCCCTACGCTGACCACTCCCCAGCACTGCCCACAAATACCCTGTGTACCAACCAGTACAGCCCAGCAAAGCGCCCCTGTCCCCGCCTTGATTGGCTGAGGTGCCCAGAAAGTTCCCAGGGCAGCTCCACCGCTCCACCCCTCCCATCCTTATGTGTGTCTCTGGCTCTGTCTCCCACCCCCTCCCCTATTCACTTATTCTGACAACGGATGTTTGTCAAGTGCTTACTGTTTGCAGAGAAGTGGGAGAAAATGACCTGGCCACAGAATCTGGCCCTGCCCTGAGCCAGGCATGGAGGGTAGAGAGGGTTCAACCTCATCCTGAGTGGCAGCGAGTCCTCCCTCTGTCTGGGGCTGAACATGCCCGAGGCCCCAAGGAGCTGGCATGAGGACCTGGGCACGCAGAGCGCGGTTCCCCGCCAGACCTTTCCGGGGTCCTGTCCGCCTGGCAGGCCCAGGGGAGATGCTGCCTTGTTGACCTGTGGCCTTGGGAGCGGGTCTCCTGCCGCCTCCTGCCTGGCATTTCCCCTGCACACACGTGTACCTTGTTCTCCTCTTGACATGTGCATTCCCCAGCCTCTCACCACCCACCTGTCACCCCATCTAAATCCACTCACTTAAAGAAGCAAAAAGTCAAGACTTACAGCCTGGTGAGATTCACGTCTGCAACAATGCTCTTATATAAAATCCCAACTAAAAAATGTCTTTCAAAATGTACTACGAAGAAACCCCTGGTACCTGCGCCATGATGAGATGTGGCCCTCTCTGTGGGCCAGACTCCCTTTCCCCTCCCAGTGGCCAGTGAAACCCACCTGTGGGCCTGGCCCTTGGTCCACCTGTTTGAAACCTGCACTAGAACCAGAATGGGAGGTTTCAGCCCCCCAGGTGGTGGCTGTGGGTGAGAGGGGGGAATCTGGGAGCAGCCCTCTTCCTGGGGTTTCTCAGGGGTCCCCCATCTTGGCTGCACGTTAGCATTACCTACTGGGGGGATGACGAGATGCACAGGCTGGGTCAGGCATTAGCATTTTTAAATCTCAGAGGTGACTGAGATGAACTGATAACCAAGGCTGGAGCCCCCGGCCTGTCCCTAGACCTCCCACCCAGCACAAGTTAGGAAAGCAGCCAGTGGGTCCCGGTCCGCGGGGGCTTACCTAGGTGCTCCTGGGAGTGTCTCTGGAGGACTGCACTGGAGCACTCCCTGGGTCCCACGGTGCCTCTGGGAAGGGGACAGCATGGCTGTGTCCACTGTGCCCTCACAGGCCGAGGGACTGCCTGAGTTGCTGTTAGCCCCTCAGTGATCTGGGGGCTTTCCTCTCTCCCTGCTAGCTGTGTATTAGTTTCCTGGGACTGCTATAGCAAATTGCCACAAACCAAGTGGCTGAAAACAACAGAAGTTTATTCTCTCACAATTCCAGAGGTTAGAAGTCTGGAATCAGCAGAGCCACGCTCTCTCCAAAGGCCTGGGAGAGAATCCTTCCTGCCACTTCCAGTCATTGGATTTAGGGCCCACCCTAAATCGTGGATGATTTTTCATCCTGAAACCCTTAACTAATTACATTCACAAAGACCCTCTTTCCAAATAAGGTCACATTCTGAGATTCCAGATGGACAGAATTTGGGAAGAGGACACTCTTCAACCCACTACACAGTGTCCCAGCACCTCCCAGTCTGATCCTACTGGGGACCCCTCCAGGCTCCAGGCCCCTCTGGCGCTTCACGTGCTACTGGCCCAGCATCTGACCTGGGGAAGCCATTTCCCCAGGAGCCTATCTGGCAGCAAGTCTTTTTGTTCTTACAGGGCTTTTCAGAATGATCAGATGTTTCTTTATGTAACATTTGTAAGTTGATTTAATAAAGTAAATACGTTCACTGGGGCCTGGTCATTGACGCCATGGAGCTGCCCATCTGGCTGCTCAGCAGCCCCCAAACCAGCACCTGCCCCGCCCCGACAATTCACCCCTGCAGCACGGGTGGCCTTTCAGTGGAGCTGAGCTCCCGCTGGGTCTCACAGCAGCACATCCCAGGTGCTCAGGGAGGGGGCGTTTGTGATGACCATGGTATGTGAGGGGTCGTCCGCGTGGGGCTTTGAAGTCTCTCTTTCTGGGGCAGCGAGTTCTGCTAATGCTTGTCCAACCAGACTCAGGAAGGTGGTCTGGAGGCTGCCAGGCTTGGGCAGCCAAGCCCCACACCTAAAG